TGGCAAAAATCACAGCACCATTATGCCAGTCACTAGAGGCAAGTATGACTGAGCTTACCAAGCAGGACCTCCTTTTGCTGGAAGGTTTGTCAGGGTGGTGGACTGATGGTTGCTTTTACACGGCTGTGCAGGACCATCCCTCAGCCTCCCCCAGGCCCTGGTCCTCTGGCTGCACCATGTCCCTCCTAGGAGGAGAGCCGGGGGGGGAATGCTGTCCCTCCTTGGACTTTGGCATGGTGAGCCTGTGGGATGCAGTGGGGCAGAGGGACCAGGCATGTGCCCTCAGAGGGTTGGGCTGTTTAGCCAGCTGAGATTCCCACTGTTGGAGAGGAAAGGAGAGAGGGAAGGTCTGTTCTCTGGTTAGACCGAGTTAATCCACCACGGGGGACAAAACCACAGATGGGATATGAGAGGGCAAATATTTGTTTTGCAGTGAGAAGGCTAAAGATCATTCCTTAGATCTCTACTGAGATGTGCTAACTTAGGCAGCTTGTCAGCCCCCCTGTGTGCCTGAAACATCTCGCTCTCAGCTGCTGGAAAAACAAGTGCTTCAGTGAGAACAATCAAGGAGGGGAGTGGGGAGATACTTAAGGAGAGGGCCTTGAAACAACATGTTTGTCTTGGCTAAAGTCAGCCTGCCCAAAAAGTGCATCCCCAGGGAGTGATAAGATTTGTAATTTGGATTTTTTTCAAAACTGATCTCAAAGTAAGTTTTAATAAGTACACAACACCAAGATACACTGAGCTAGCTTTTCTGCGCAGTTCAAGAATATTTGCTATTAGACTGTTACGTTGCAAGTAGCACGGTGTCCCGTGAGATTGCCCTCTTCCCAGCTGGCTGGTATCTGTGGTGTTTGTACTCTCCTTGGTTATGTTTTATGCACGCTTTGAGTTAATTTCATTTCATTGTGGCTCAATGTGAAAGTATTTCTGTATAAAGTGAAATACTGTGCTCTATTTGCAGTACTTTACTTAAGCAAGGACTGTATTAATTCAATAAGTAGCTATATTAAATGAGCTGATCTTCTATGCAAGTTCCTATTCTTAGCTTCCACACAGGAAAAGTGCTAATCCTTTAATTAAATTTGCAAACTAAAGCTGTGTGAGCCTTTGACATATTTTTTTGAGAAGCAATTAAAAGTAAGCTCAAGTCCCTGGCCAGTGATACATCTAGTCTGATGTGATGTCCAACAAGCCAGCAGGTTGAGAAGCTGTAGCTTTCCTTCCCCCTCTGTCCTCAGCAGTAGGAAAAAAATCCCCACCTGTTTCCTAAGTGATGTGTAGTATGCAGAGAGCATGTATGCAGCTATGTGCATGGCACTCAGATTTTATCCATTCCCACAGAGTTTCATAAAGGAGCGTCTTAATTCCCCCTTGGTCTCTCCAAGGCACCTTTGCATCGTAACATACTCTCTCCCATCACTGCGTGGACACAGCTTTTCTCCCCTTTTCAGTAGTCCTAACAGGCTTTGTAGTCTGTTCCTCATATCCACTGTTTGTTTCTCAGCTTCAGCTAGTATGTGCTACAACCATATCATCTATCATTGCTTATAATTTTGTTTTCTTCAAAAAAAAAAAAAAAAAAAAAAAAAAAAAAAAAAAAAAAAAAAAAAAAAGGCTTTGATCCTAAATTGAAACTTTCCTCTGTGCAGCATCACCCAGCAACTAGTTCATTCTCCCTCTAGTAACCAGCTGTTGGCATTTTCATGGAGGTTACAACATTGCTCTGGATTTTTATGTTCCCAGTGCTTTAATGTAAAAATGTTTCAGTACTTTCCATTTTTGTGCTGTTCTTTAGGCCAGCATGCTCTGCAGCCTCTCTCCTCTCCTCCAATTTCTGTAAAGACCTGTCCACATGCCTCATAATCAGATGCAGGATCGATGAGACCAGTCACGCAGTAAACACGTGGTTTGGCTGCAAGGATCTCTTCCCTGCAGATAGGGAAACACTGGGCCATGCATGTGTTTCCCTCTTGTCAGGGTGAGTTTACTGCTATCTGCAGTTTCTTAGCAGATCCTTAATTTTAAAAGCTTAATCTTCAGGGCCCCTTAAAAAGGTTCACACAGATTTCAGAGAGGGTCAGTTTTGATTCTAGGTTAGAAATTGGTTTGTTATTTACCCTGTGTTTCACAAAATCTCAGCTGGTGTCTGTATGGCTCTGTTCTTAACTTACACATTCAATCATTTCTTCTTTCTGTATTTTTGAAATGTAGGTAAGAGAATGATAGGGAGAGGCATTTTGACTCTTTTGATGCATTTATACAGGAATTCTTTAATACTTTGCATACTAAGTGAAGTATGGTATTGGAATAAAGGAATATCTGAAATAATATTTTCAAGTCTCAACCTCACCTAGTTTTTCAGTTTTGATCCACTAAGTTTTGAGGCAAGTTTATAGCAAGTGAGCCAGTGCCATACATCAGTTTCCCTTAGCTTGCTTATCAGATCTCTTTGATCTCTATTCAGCATTTTAAAAAATTCCCTTTCATTTCCTGTCCCATTAAGCCCTTACTGAAAATAGAATTTTTTAAAATGGTTATTGTGTTTAAAACCTCACTAGCTTCCTATAACAGACTTCACAGTGGAACTGTCTATTAACATACAAATGTAGCTGCCTGGTGCTACAGAGGCAATTGGTTAGACAGTGGAAAGCACAGTGTTGCAGTGAAAAAGGAGCAAAGAAACTGGATTTGACTGAGCACAGTGTCCTGGTTCAGCTGGGATAGGGTTAAGAGAGAGGGGGGGAAGGGATCTCCAGGCGGGTTATTCATACCATGCTGACGTCAGGTCCGGGCGTGGGATCGCGGGAACTTTTTCCTTGGTGGCTTTGGTGACGGGGAGCATCGTGAGCGAGCTGTCTGTAACCATTGCGGTATTTCTCTGTATATCTTCTGTCTTGTTCACTGTTATTGCTGTTTATTGTTGCTATCATTGCTACTGTTGTTGTTCAGATTGTTTATCACACTGTTGTATTAAATTGCTTCTTATTTTAACCCGGGTTTGTGCCTCACTGCCAGCCTGACCGGCTGAGGGTGGGGGAGGGACAACGGCAACGTGCTCTCTGGTCACGGCAGTGCTTAAACCACCACACACACCAATGTTGTGCATTTGCAAACAGGGAATGCTGCTCCTACAGAGCTCTCTATTTAGCACTGAGCAGGTGGGCACTTCACTAGTCTTGGACACAGCCATGGTCTTGGAGGAGAGGAGAAAGTAACTGTCATAGCGATGTGTAATGCTAATTTGTGAGGATGCTAAAACCCCATCTTTCTTTTAGGAGATTTTCAGTGGCTTTATGTGTAATTCATTGCATGTAGAAGATATATTGTCCCCAGTTAAGATCACATATCCTGACGAAAGATTTTGCATTTTATTTGGACTGGTTTTGCAAGTGAGGAAATGGTTGCTTATTAAGGACCCAATGTGATACAACCTTTGCTTTGCTGGCAACATGAGGCAGAAGTGTCAGAATAGTTTATAATGCTCCAAACAGGGAGAGGAGATGAACTATTTGCAAGAACAAATACTGGTCCTGTACTAGTGTCAAAGTTGTCTTGTCACAGGTTATGAGCTAAATAGTGTATGCACTGGTGAGTACTTGACTTAGAGCTCTGTTTGCGAGCTATTGCAAAGAAAGTTCCTGACAAACTGCATGGAAAAGTGCACTTTTTGGTGCCTGAATCCATTCTTTTAGAAACTGAGGGCTATACATTTTGTATGTGCCTTTTTTTGACTGTCCCAAGACAAGCACTGTAACTGACTTCAACTTTGGTCCATATTACACTTATGAAGAAACTGATACTTGGGTAAGAGTTCATACTGCTTTGGAGTTTACAGTTCTGTGACTGGAAGTGATTCTCCTGAAATAAGTGGGATTATAAATGAACTGAGAATGGCATTACCATTAAGGAAGACACAACATTTTCAACAAGTGCCAGCAAAAAGCCATGAAAACAGAATGTTTGTGTTGCATCTTTGTTAGACTCTGTAAGTCTTTACCTTACAGATGAGGCTGGGCAGTTTCAGCCCAGGTCAGTGTTCTGACACTCATACATGGGTTGTAGACAAGATACTGTAAGTTACGGCCTCTGTAATGGTGGGAGACCACCACTACAGTATGTGTGAGCCTACTTTTACTCTGGATATACTATGGACAAGAGACAGTCATAACCTCTCATGTCTCCCCTACACCTTCCTCTTTCAAGCCTTGAGTATTTTTTGAATTTATTGGACAGTTTCAATCCATATCTCAAACACACACTCCTCAACAGTGAACAAGGAAGCTTTGTAGTTGAGAAGACTCACATGAGTCCAAATGACCTGCTGGGGAAGAACAGGCAGGCGTTGAACCCTTCTCCTCTTGTGAGGTCGCAGTAAGTGAGCCCACTAGCACATGCAGGAGTTGCTCTTGTACAGCCAGGTTACTTGTGCATGCAGATGCCTCCACCAGTTGAGAGGGAGCTGGCTGCCATGGTATTTGGGAAGAGGGTCAGAAGGCTGGAGGAAGGAAGGCTCTAATCTTTCCATTGTTGATGGAGTGACATTAGAAGTCTTTCCTTGATGCACAACTACATTGTCAGATAACAAAATTTTCTATAAGCCAACTCAGTGTGTTGTTCACACATACATACGTGTATATATTCTAAAAGCCATGTTCTCACCAGTTTGAAGCAATTATTTTGAAAATACTTTGTTCTAATTAAGCTATATTCTTTCCATAGGGAACCATTAAAAATGTCCATTGAATTTCCCAGCTTTGTCAATACTATACCATCTGTGAATGCAGTCCAAATTTTTTTTAATGACACATGTCATGCCACAGTATTGGGAGATGTAAAGGGTGTGAGTCAGCTACTTGACCACAGAAAACAAATGCATTTGAAGTGCCCTGGGATAGCTGAGACATCCTTATGAGGCTGGCAGATGTGACAAAACATACAGGGAGGACCCAGCTACCCTGGTGTGGTCTTGTCCTGGGGTATTTCAAAGAGGTTGGCAAATGGTATGGTTGCGCATTGTTTGGGCAAGTCAATACCAAAGAGATAGCAACAAATTTCCTGCCTGATACTAGACTGCCCAAGCATTTCCTGGGTTGTGTCTGCAGCTTGTTTCATTGAGCAGCTGATCACTCTTTGTACAGGCGCCTCGCTGCAGTGTTGATGTGCCAACTCTCCTTTCATTCACCTTTGCCCATCTATCTCTTAACACACCTCAGATGACTGTACCAGAATATCAGTACACTGGATCACAGTCATTCACGTGCAAAGGACTGCTCACAAAAAAAAGTTTTTTTAAGATTACCTTCTAGTACCTTC